AACTCGCATTAGCGAAGCGCTAGGTCTCAGGAATTCTTAGCCTCTGCAAGTAGAAGCCGATCTACTCAGGTGTCGTCTTCACGGCCCGCGTTCAGGACAGCGTTGGAATTCTAGTAGAACCCAACTTGGCCGACAGAATCATTCAATGGAAGCCTGTCAGTGTAGGCATAGCAATCATCTGATTGAAGCTACAGCGGACTAAAGCGTTATCCTTGTTACAGGTCTATGTACCCAGTTTAGAGGGATAATATGAGTTCTTCCAGGAGCTCCCTACACCATCTTGCCTCCTACGTCTTATGTTCTAACGGCAACCTCACTGGCAAACGGAGGACGTTACGCCGTGGTATTGTTCGTATAATCAGGAATGTCTGGTAATACTCGTGTAATTACTATTTAAAACTGTTACCGTTATTTCAGCAAAGAAATGAATCCATGAAGTGTACTTTGCATTGATTAGTTCTATTTTTACAATCGTTTTCTCTTCGATTCAATAGTCGAAATCGAAAGTGGGATTGCTCCTTGTGCTAATTATTACACACTAGATAATCAGCTGTCATGCTTGGCCAAGGGGTACTCACGTCGGACAGCACGGCCGCATACTTCGTCCATTCAATCATGACCAGACCAAAATGCCATGCGGTTTCTGTCATTCGCAAGTCACGGATTTACCACGGGTTTCTGGGCCGGTTCTCTCGAAGCAGCGTAGGGTCAATCCTAGTCAGCAGATAATGTGGAGTAAAGGCAAAAAAGTTGATGTGGACCCAGAGCTTCTGGACTCAAGGCCAAGCCGTTGACCATCCTGCCCAAAAGTCGGATTCTTCCTTCGTTCCTCAATCTGCTGAAAAACAGACACCTCCTCTTTGCCATAGCAATAAATTTCCCGTGAAGCGCCGAAATTGGCGTAATTCAAGTGAACCGATCAAACGAATGCAAATACAACATGTCAATCATTTCTGGGCTGAGTGTTCGATTTTCCCTCATAAACTGCTGAACCTTTCACGTCCTTCCGGCGCTCATAATCAAGTGGGCATCAGGTAAGTGTCGTCGACGGAGGGTAAACTCGATTTGGCTGGCTTTTAAGTGGGTCGCGTCTGTGACGCGACACCAGTGAAATGAACTTATCGAAAATTTGCTGGTACGTCTTCAGTTCGTCTTCGTGTGTCGATCGCGCGCACCGCCGGTTCTGCTTGCCTCTTCCTCCGCGTACTTCTGCAAACTGTACATTAAGACTCGGTTTCGGAAATGATCAAAAGAAACGCCTACGTGTTTTTCCTCAGCTGCGAAACGATATGCATCTGTTGCCAAGTAACACCATGTTCTGTAGTTCTTGTTCACGGCGCATTTCATCGTGCAACGTAGATCGTCCTCGTCGTCGTCGCCGCCTCCGCCGCCGCCACCAACGCCCTGAGGGAAGGGCACATGAAACAGCTGGAGAACGTCCGCAAAATCCTCGACAGACTCAGTCACGTCTTGCAGCTGACAAACCCGGACGTCAACATCACCGCGGCCGAATACCTGGCGGAATCCAGGGAGGTAGGTGATTTCGCTTTCGAGGTAAAAACTTCAAAGAAAAATAAAAACTGGCAAACTACTCCCTCACCTGCGCCGTACAACATAATTTGTACCGACAAGACGAGGTAGAGTTTCGAGTAGACTCACTCGAGGCAATTACCAGTGTTGTGACAAGTGGTGAGGGTTAACATGAGGTTACGTCCCTATTTTCAATATATTTCTAGAGATGTATGAATTTTTTTTAAGATTATCTTGTTGATGCATGATTATACTGAAAACATGCCACAAAAACGGCTCATTAATGTACTATGCCGTGTGAATGGTCTTTCGGATTGTACTCCGGTATCGATTTCGTTGACTCATTTCTGAAGTTAAATCTACCGATTAGATTTGGTTGATTTTTCGGTCATCTGCAGCAGATGGTTCCCTTTTGAGATAAAAGGCTAAATCAACTCTCCACCAGATTTCGCTAATCAGGGCTCATGAGATGCAGATCATAGCGGAATATCACCCAGCAGAGATTAAAAATAGCCTTTTGGCTGTATGCTCATTTCTCATAGAGAACACTTCACCAATAAAATTAATAAGGTTGATAAATTGTGATTAAATCTGAGTCATTGTTTCAAATCCGTTTGGAAAACAGATAGCGAAAAAGATGTATATTACTGTTACAGTTTATTTGTCATTAATTTCAATCCATATTCAGAGATAATCATTTGAGCTTCAGAACGTAGATTATATAAAAGGTTCTTTTGCGGTGCTTTTTGAGGTTGTGATGTCTATCCCTTTAGCTTTCTAGCAAAAGTAGTTTTATTCGACTTTTGAAAATCATTTAAATTCTTTATTTTCCTCTTCAATTAACAAGTACTTCAAGAGTTTTAAGCCGGCAGTTACAGTACAGACTACTATCCGTATTTTCATTGCGCCTTAAACCATTTTAGTTACTTCATTCCATTAGCAGATTTGCCAGAAAAGCATTCAAATACCAGCCTTTATATTAATATTCTGACCCTTGCTACATGAAATAATTTTTTAATAATATCTTATTAATAACCTTACAGTTTATAGCATGACTTAAGGAAGGCTTCGTTTCGCTCATCCATACAGTAACAAGCAGAAACGAAAACCCAAATTGCTTCTAATGTCACTAATCGTTATTATTTACCCCGTTTTTCAGTCAGGCAAATTAACAGATTCACATAGACAGTTTCTCCAGAAGGATTTTTCTATCTGGTTCAAATTTTTGAAGTATTCGACCGATGAATCTGCTTATCGATTGACTATA